GATTCAAACTGGAGAGGAGGGTTTTGAAAGTGGGGGCCAGTTTATTCAGGAATGCCTCGGCTCACGACCACATTTGAACTTAAAAATCTGCGTTGCCAACCAAACAGTGAAGTGAGTTTGGCCCCATTTTGTGACCTTTCTTGCCCAAGTTGTTAAGTGAATCACTGCAGTTGTTAAGTTAGTCACACGGTTGTTAAGTGAGTCTGGCTTCCCCATTGGCATGGCTTGGTCACAAAAGGGGATCACATGACACCCCCCCCACACAGACACTGCATCCGTCATAAATATGAGTCAGTTGCCGAGCATCCGAATTTGGATCACGCGAACCCCACGGGGGATGCTCGTGACGGTTGCAAAGCGCAAAAAAACAGTCCTAAGTGGATTATTCGGTATAAATAGCTGGACTCCCGAAGTTGTGTTTGCAGCTTTGAAGGGTCACTAACCAAACTGTTGTAAGTCGAGGACTACCTGTAGCCCTCGCTACCCCACCCACCCCTCCCCGTTCACTTGTAGCTTGGTCGGTAAAATAAATAGCTTAAAGGCAACGCCTCCCTCCTTTCTGCATTTTCTTCTTTGCCGCCCTCTCGTTCTGCTAAATCACGTCAAAAGTACAGTATTGTCGCCTGAGGGTCTTGCAGAACAAGAATATCCAGCACGCAGGATCCACAAGTGATCTTCGGCTCAAAGGAACTGCGGAATCCAGCAGGGACACTTCACGCAGGGCGGTTGTCTCCACCAGCACCTGCCCTACCGCAATTGCACTGAGTCCCACATCTCATTAAACCTCCGAGCTACTTGCGTAGTGCAGTGTTTCTCAACCTTGACAATTTTAAGGCATGTGGACTTCAACTCCCAGAATTCCACAGCCAGCATTGCTGGCTGTGGAATTCTGGGAGTTGAAGTCCACATGCCTTAAAATTGTCAAGGTTGAGAAACACTGGCGTAGCAGCTTCTCTTAAGCCTTCCACTTTCAGAGACAAGATCAGATGCCTTGTGGGTGTTATTTTCCAGAGACGACACGCGTTTTTTTGTGGATTTGTTCATTTGGGATGCTTTTATGCCACTCGAGTCACCTGACTCTAAATGGCTGACAAACAACAATAACACAATGCAATACAATGTGATGCGATGCAATGCAATACAATATAATATAATATAATGCAATACAATACAGTGCAATAAAATGTAATACAACACAATGTAATGCAATACAATACAGTGCAATAAAATGTAATACAACACAATATAATGCAATACAATACAGTGCAATCAATAAAATGTACTGCAATGCAATGCAATACAATACAATGCAATAAAATGTAATGCAATGCAATGTGAGACAATACAATACAGTGCAATGTGATACAATACAATATAATACAATACAGTGCAATGCAATACAATGCAATGCAATACAATGCAATGCAATGCAAGACAATGCAATAAAATGTAATGCAATGCAATGCAATGCAATACAATACAGTGCAATGCAATGCAATACAATGCAATGCAATACAATACAATGCAATAAAATGTAATGCAATACAATACAATACAGCGCAATGCAATACAATACAATGCAACGCAATGTAATGCAATACAATGCAATACAGCGCAATGCAATACAATACAATGCAATGCAATACAATACAATACAGTGCAATGCAATACAATACAATATATTGCAATACAAGGCAAGGCAATGCAATACAATGCAATAAAATGTAATACAATGCAATATTGTGCAGTACAATATATCCAAAATCTGAATGCAGAATACAGAATACAAACAGAGTTGAAAGGGTCTTGGAGGTCATCTAGTCCAGCCCTCTGCTCAAGCAGGAGATCTTATACCATTTACAATAAATGGCTGTCCAGTCTCTTCTTAAAAACCTCCAAGTGATGGAGCTTTCACAACTTCTGGGGGAAAGTTGTTCCACTGACTAATTGTTCTAACTCATTCTCCTTACTTCTAAGTTGCTTCTCTCCTTGATTAGCTTCTATCCATTGCTTCTTGTCCTGCCTTCAGGAGCTATGGAGAAGAGGTCAACTTACTCCTGGCTATGGCAGCTTCTCAAATACTGGAAGAAACTACCATGTCACCACAAGTCCTTCTCTTCATTAGACTAGACTTACCAATAATAGGCCACAAAAAGACTTGTAGATCTCAACCCTCCAAATTCGCCAGTCGTAGGAAACAGCCATGTTTCTCACTCATTCTTTGATATCTCAAGATAAATGGACCTCAGTAATAGATCAAGGAGAAACAGAACCCACCATCTTGGCTTCTATTATGATGGGAGATATTTCCTCCTTCAGATGCCTTAGAGAGGCACTCCTATAGAATAGACAAGACCAAGCTAGACATATCAATAGTCTGTATAAATATAGATTATATATAAGAAAATGAATAGAATAGAATAAAATAGGTAGAGTAGAGTAGAATGTAGAATAGAGTAGAGTAGAGTAGAGTAGAGTAGAGTAGAGTAGAGTAGAGTAGAGTAGGGTAGGGTAGGGTAGGGTAGGGTAGGGTAGGGTAGGGTAGGGTAGAGTAGAGTAGAGTAGAGTAGAGTAGAGTAGAATAGAATAGAATAGAATAGAATAGAATAGAATAGAATAGAATAGAATAGAATAGAATAGAATAGAATAGAGCTGGAAGGGACCTTGGAGGTCTTCTAGTCCAGCCCCCTGCTCAAGCAGGAGAACTTACATCATTGTCCAGTCTCTTCTTAAAAATCTCCAGTGATGGAGCGCCCACAATTTCTAGTGGCAAGCTGTTTCACTGGTTGATTGTCCTCACTGTCAGGAAGTTTCTCCTAAATTCCAGGTTGCTTCTCTCTTTGATCAGCTTCCAACCATTGTTTCTCATCCTTCTCTCTGATGCTTTGATGAACAACCTGGCCCCTTCTGCCTTGTGGCAGCCCCTCAGATACTGGAACATGCTATCATGTCTCCCCTATTTCTTCTTTTCTTTAGACTAGCCAAGCCCAAGTCCCGCAGCCGTTCTTTCTATGTTTTGGTCTCCATGCCTTGGATCATCTTAGTTGCTCTTCTCTGAATTTTTTTTTCCAAACTCTCAACATCTTTTTTGTGATTGGTAGCTCAGAGGGTAGATGTTGATGGTGGCTTGTTCTCCAGGCTTGCTGTTTAGCTTCCAAACTCTGTTGGCTAGGTAACATCCTCAGCATCTTATTTCAGATCTCCTCAGCTTTTATTGCTCTCGTGCGGTCATGTGATGAATGGGTCATGTGATTGGCTGCTCATGCCATGTGACTAGCTGGTGAGGTTGTGAGAAGGATGATGTCATGTGACGTCATCCATAAGGAGCTGTATCAATCGAACGAACGACCAACAATGTCACCAACTACCTCTTGGTGACCTCCTAACAACATGACCAGACAGTCATACCACCCTCTTCACTTGGTGACCTCCACACACCAACATCACCCAGTGACACAGCATGCCATACGACATGACCCACCAACCACATGACCACATGAGATCAATAAAAGCTGAGAAGAACTGAAAATGATGATGATGATAAAGTTGGAAGGGACCTTGGAGGTCATCTAGTCCAACCCCCTGCTCAGGCAGAAAACCCTATAACATTTCAGACAAATGGCTGTCCAGTCTCTTCTTAAAAACTTCCAGTGTTGGAGTGTTCTCAGCTTCTGGAGGCAGGTTGTTCCACCGGTTAATTATTCTAACTGTCAGGAATTTTCTCCTTAGTTCTAGGTTGCTTCTCTCCTTGATTAGTTTCCCTCCATTGCTTCTTGTCTTTGCCTTCAGGTGCTTTGGAGAATAGCTTGACTCCCTCTTTTTTGGGGCAGTCCCTGAGATATTGGAACACTGCTGTCATGTCCCCCCTCATCCTTCTCTTCATTAAACTAGACACTTCAACTGAAGTTCTGCTGAGGATGTCACCTAGCCTAATAATAGTAATAATAATAATAATAACAATCATTTGCCTGTAAGCAAAAACTGGTGGGATCATAAAATAGAGAAAGTCATAGAAAATGATAAAATTAAACTGCTCTGGGACTTCAGAATTCAAACAGACAAGCACCTGCAACATAACACCCCAGACTTAACAATTGTCGATAAGAAAGACAAAAAAGTCTGGATAGTGGACGTGGCAGTGCCTGGAGATAGCAGAATAGAAGAGAAAGAACTGGAGAAGATAACAAAATACAAAGACCTACAAATAGAAATAGAAAGACTGTGGCAAAAGCAAGCAAGGGTAGTACCAATAGTCATAGGCGCCTTGGGTGCAATCCCAAAACAACTGGAGCACCTCTTGAACACAATTGGCATTGACAAATTCACTATTAGTCAATTGCAAAAGACAGCCTTACTAGGAACTGCTTCCATCCTGCAACGATATCTGAAATACCATCAAACATCCACATCTGCCTATCCCAGGTCCTGGGTAAGGACTCGATAGGTAGACAAAATGCCAAATCCAGTCTGAACATCTGGCTGACTGTGTGATGATCCATAATAATAATAATAAAGTTGGAAGTGACTTTGGAGGTCATCTAGTCCAATCCCCTGCTCAGGCAGGAAAGTCTATCCCATTTCGGACAAATGGCTGTCCAGTCTCTTCTTAAAAACTTCCAGTATTAGAGTATTCACTTCTTCTAGAGGCAGGTTGTCCCACTGGTTAATTGTTCTCACTGCTCAGAAACTAAACAGCAAACTCAGAGAACAAACCACCAGCAACTATATATAAAGCTGTGATAGTTCTGATCTTAGTGTTCTTCCCAGTGAACAGAAAACCTTTAGAAGATCATCCCACTTCCCCACTTGTTGGAAGAGCAGAGAAATCCATTCTTTGGGCAGCACAGTGTAGGAAGATCTCCCAGGTTTACCATCAACTCTGTCCTATACACAGTATGTCCAGAAAGTGGATGATTCAAGAGGCAGCTTTTGTGATGCTTCACCCAGCCTTGATGTCAGAAAGCTGGTGGGGTCAAAGTTTAAGAAGTCTTTCCCTACAAACCTCTCCAGACATCCAATGAATGTTCAGTAAGTTTCTCAGAATTGTCCAGGGTTTATTTGTCGATCCCTTTGTTTCTCCATTCTTGTAATCCTGGGTAGAGTTCCTTGTCTTTCCAGTTAATGGGTCTAGATATCAGAAAGCATCCAGCAGAACATTCTAGCTTCTGTTAGAACAGTGGTTCTCAACCTTTCTAATGCCGCGACCCCATAATGCATTTCTCCATGTTGTGGTGACTCCCAATCATTTATACATCACCGGGTGCCAGGGGCGTGGCCAAAGAAAAGAGGGAAAAAATGGCGGACAGCCTTGTTTGGCAACCCCCGTGAAATGGTTGTTCGACCCCAAATGGGGTCCCGACCCACAGGTTGAGAACCACTGTGTTAGAACTTCCATATTTCTGTTCTGTGTCCCAGTGAGTTAAATGGCTGAGGATATTTTAGGGACCTCCATGTTTGTATCCCATCCCACTTGTAGACAATCTGCCTGGAATGCTTATATCAGGATTCCGGTGTTGTTGTTATAATAATAAACATGGACAGCTTTGAAATAAGTTATGCATTTCTTCAGCTGTTGTTGTTGTTGTTGTTAATTGCGAAGTCGTGTCCGACCTATTGCGACCCCATGGACAATGTTCCTCCAGGTCTTCCTGTCCTCTATCATCTTCTGGAGTCTATTTAAGTTCACACCTACTGCTTCAGTGACTCCATCCAACCATCTACTACTGCTTCAGTGACTCCATCCAACCATCTCATTCTCTGTCGTCCCCTTCTTCTATTGCCCTCAATCTTTCCCAGCATTAGGCTCTTCTCCAGTGAGTTCTTCCTTCTCATTAGGTGGCCAAAGTATTTGAGTTTCAACTTCAGGATCTGGCCTTCTAAAGAGCAGTCGGGGTTGATCTCTTCTAGGACTGACTCTTCAGCTGTAGGGCCCTCTATCAAAGCTTTGGAGAACTTGCTACTCTTGTTGATGGATCCAATCATCTGAGGTCAGCGTCTTGCTTAAGATCACGGATGGGGAACCAGCTGTGTTGCTGAATCACCTAATCCAGCATCCCTCCATCTGGCCATTGTAGCTT